CCTATTAACACATAAATAAAAAGTTAAGCAAGAAATAAAAAAAATATTTTAGTCACTCATATATCACAAATGAACTGCGGCTCAAAAATTACATTCGTTTTCATTAGATTAAACATCTACTATTTAATTGTATCTACAAATTAGTACCATAAAAATGGGAGTTATTCTCGTTTAATTTTATGATTGCTGCCAACCTTTTTATTTTTATTCCTTTTATAAATTAATACCACAGTATATACATAATGCCACATCAAATCATTGAACAACGAAGCTGAGCTCTCATAGTTAAAAAGTGTTGCCAGTACTATAATAATACCTAATTTAGATTTTGCTGTAAAAATCTATTTTTGTTATTAGGTAATTATATCTTATCCACCTCAGAATGAACTACTAATTATAAACATTTGTAGGGATTGGGGGAGAGGAAGGATTGGGCCTCCGGTAACCTCACTCACATGGTGAAACACAACGCTGTGGTTATTTTACGCCGGTTTTCTGTGAGGCCGTAGTATCACTCCGGTTGAGCCGACCTATTCTTGCCGAAGCATGACTCTCCCACACTTGTGTTAGACCAATTTGTGGAATACTGCCAATACGTAATAATAAATAAGTAATAATTCGTGATGAAAGTTTCAGCATTTTCTTAGTGGGAACATTTGTAAGGTAAAATAAAACACTGAAGAAAAATCTTGTCATTATTTTTTTAATTCGTTAAAATATGAAAGCATTATCATGATTATCTTTGTGCTTCATAAAAATATTTTTTTATTTGATACATTGAAATGGACAGGAGGTAATTTATAGGTAATTTGATATCTTTTTAAGCGTTGATACATATGATAATTTTTCTGTCGAATTTAAGACAGAGGAGTTTGCCAAGGACCACTACCTATATTCTATTAGGTAGGTTTTGAAGTAGACTTTACTTTTCTACGTAACATTATTAGGATACAAACAAATTAACTGAAAGGAAAAAAACTGAAGTTGAAAGATCAGTTAGCAAAAGAGACTAGTTCAGAGGTCACCTTTTTGGAAATAGTTTGTTTTGATAAGCAACATACGATCACATTGGGAAATTAATAACTAATTTTATGTATTGGTATTTAGGGAATTTAGTAGTTCAACTTATGCTGAATTTTCTATTCAAAGATGTAGGTACATCATTATCACTATAATATTTTATTCATTTCATTTATTTAGAGTTGGGTTCTGCGCCAATTTCTTTTGCTAACTGAAAGAAAGAGAAAAGAACTCCGGTAGGTACGTTCAAACTTAATTTTATTGAATATTTTTTTGTGTGTGTTCTATTTATTATTAAAAATAAGTTGCAAATTTTTTACTATACAACAATCTAAGCACAGATAAAATCGATAGTGGTGAATGGTTATTAGGTACCTCTGGACATTTAGTAAGTACCTAGATAGGTAGTTAGGTACCTCAAATTGTACATAGTTTCAGTAGCTTGGCCACCCTTAAAATACCGAGGACAGATTAGCAACAACGCAATAATAATAATTATATTAATAACAAGAATATTATTATTGTTTATTTATCACAAATACACTGGTATATAAAATATATTTAGATAAGTTAATGACATGTGCTTGGTGCATCGTACCTTAGAGATCTGTGCAGGCTGTGCAAGAATCTTAAAATTAATCTTAAAATCTAAGGCTCGTTGAATACGAGGCTAGTAGCTAAGACAGCAGAGTTAAAAAGCCAGAAAGAATAATAGCAACTTCTATCAGAAATTCCAATAGATACTTGAGGTGCGTTATGTTAATAAGTCCACTCCATAGAATACCTATTGATAAAGACTGGCTAATTGATAGAGATAAAAAGAATCTTGTTTGTTTCATTAATAGATTTTGGCCGTCATTTCGTATTTATAGAGTTTGAAATCAATGAAATATAATTTCTGACTTTAACAACCGATTTCTGTCGCAATTAGGTTAGGTATTCGGGTCATCAAATCAATATAACTCTTGCGTACTAACATCGTATTATCAACATTGAAAATGAGGAACATGTATTCTTGAAAAAGGTAATGACTAGTTTAAAATTAATTGTCTCTTTAATTAGTTGGTAAAAGTCCAAGTATTTTATGAATGCGATCTTATCTAACGAAATAATTATTGCCAATTTTAGATTAATGTCATGGCCATTTGGATTGGGAACAATAATCAGACGATAAACAAAAATGCATATAGATTTGCCCTTTGTACACTTTCTACAGTTAAAATGATTATGTTTTGTGGTAAAGTCTTTTTTCATAATTAATTATAAGTAGGTAGTTTACTTAGTGTATTTTTAGGTCCAACAAAAAAGAAATATTTGAAATCAGGTAAGAAGTTAATTTAGTGGATATTATAGGTAGGTAGAATAAATAGAAAAGGAAAGAATTTTAAGCTTCCAAATATACATAATATATAAATTACTATTGGCAAGATTCGAAAGCTAACTAGGTTTGAAGACATCACAGATTTGTATTCAAAGAGACAATTTTGTGCATGATTGTGCGAGAACTAGGTATAAGACGAATACCTAAGTATGTAAATAATTAATTTTCATGTTGTGACACGGATTAAAGACATCGAGAATAGAATATGTCGTGTGTCGTGGTGGCCCGGAGGTTAAGGAGCCCGCTTCTCATGCATGAGAGTGCGGGTTCGAAACCTGGCAAGTACCAATGTGACTTTTTCCGAGTTATATGTACTTTCTATGATTATTTAGACACTACTGACATACGGTGAAGGTAAACATCGTGAGGAAACCTGGACTTATAATTTCTAATTATAAGTTTGAAATCGCCAACCCGCATTGAGCAAGCGTGGTGATTAATGCTCTAACCTTCTCCGTATGAGAAGAGGCCTTTGCTCAGCAGTGGGCACTTATAGGCTGATGATGATGATGATGATGATGAGAATAGAATAAAGTAGTAGTGAATGATATACTAAAGGCTATCTACGCATTTCCAGTCCTTAGTATATATCGCGTAGTCATTAAAACTTAATTATTCGAACTGTCTAAATTATTCAATATACGGCTCAGGTTCTATTTAGAAAAAACTGAGCCAGTCATTAGATGATTTTAACCTGACAAAAAAAAGGTATGAGACAGAGTGTGTCGAAATTCAACCTCTACAGTTTGAGGTTAGGAATTAGGGCTGACAAAACTAAATCGTTCTAAAGACTGGAAACGTGTAAATCGGTCTTAATACTAAACTAGATTTAGTTAATAAATTGGAATGAGAAACCAGCTGAAGTAAAGCTGAAGTACAATAGATATAGATTTCATACAGTTACACAGACAAATCTACTAGAATAAAAGTACAAACGTGGTTTTACTATCCTCTCAATTAATTAATGAGATTGGTCTCAGTCTTATGCTATAAATATTACATTCGTGTAGTGTAGAGGAATGAAGTATGCTATAATGTTCTTTTTCCGTAAATACTCATGTTTTTTTTTAAATATTAACATTAATTAAACACAACAATGTAACATTTCTTACAAAAATGGCGTCATTAAAAAACCCTATCTACGTGTTTAATATAATAATCTATTGCATTTTATACAATTTGGGACTTAAATGCAACGTCTAATGAGGATTTTGGAGCATTTTCGAATAAAATCGTTAGGTACCGTATTGATGTGGTTGCTCCGATTAAGTATTTACATTAATATTTTCATTTTGCAAATTTCTGTGTATTTGAACGTACACGCCACGCTTATGTTGTTCTCGCTGTTCTAATTTTAATTTATTCTAAATAATTCGTTAAAATCAACAACGTCGGTAGTTGAAAAAAAAACTTATCAGCCAGTGTTGTCAACTGTTAGTTTTATTTCCATTAAATAAAAAAAAATACCCTTATTTAACTTATTATTTAAATTTTAATATCGTGCAAAAAATGGATGGGCGTATAGTTCAAATATTTAACAATTAATTTGTAACTCTGCTTGCTGTACACAACAAACATTCAAATAGAATTCAACTAGCATGTTCTAGCTAAGAATATTAATTGGAAAACAATGGAAGAAACATTTATCTAATTATAATTATTATATTGCTGTTCGCATTGTATATTAAACATTGCTTATAAACTCACAATATTTGGTGTCATAGTTAATTATTATTTAAATAGAAAACAACATTTAACATTCGCCATTACAACAGATCATTCAAAAAATCACAGACTTTTCCTAAAATAACATTTTGTTCTTTCAAATGAATAATATTTGGTACGTATTTACAAACTACAAACTGTTTAACGAAATTGAGAAGCATTAACAAAAATAAGGTCAAATATACATTTTTAATTGGCAACACATTTTAACGTAACTCAAATTACAGCTTGGCTGCTTTTTGTGTTGCCAATTATTTATTGAAAACTCCCAATTATAGTTTTTTGACATATTCTACAATCTTTATTTCGATATTTATTTGAATCTCGACAATAAGTATTGATATCTTTAAAAGTAGGTAATATTGCACTTTTGTCATAAATATCACTACGTTTACTATCAAAGATCGTGGATTGTAACGGTTCTATTACAAAAAAAAACCAACCCTCCTTGATTCATTTTCAAACACAGCCATAGTTAATCGCTTTTATAGATTAGGTACTATTAAAGGACAGAATATCTACGAATCATGTTTGTAAGAGCACCTTTACTTAACAATGTGTATTTTGGCCTTCTCAATATTTCAAAACATGAGAAAACATACATTTTAAAAATGCTGAGCAGATGGAATGGGTATCAAATCCAACCAAATCAAAATTTAAGTTAGATGAAAATCATCGATACACAAAACACTGAACAGTCATATCCATAACACTAAAAGGATCTTAGTCGACGGAAGCGCCATCTAGAGAGCGGAATAAAGTTTTATTTAGGTATTTTGTCGTCAACCACCATCTCAATGTTGAAAAATGATCTTTATCCAAACCTGATACTGTCCAGCAGCTATTCAGATATTTACCTATTCAGATATTTATATAGCTAGATCTAAGAGTTATACTTATTGCCGAGATTCCTTACGTAATGTCGGACCCGTTTGCGGATCGCCTTCGGACTGTGTTACGATGGTTTGTGCTTCTTTCTGACGTCGCGTCGGTGTTCATTAGCTGGATGTGGCTTCAGTTCTCGACAGTCCAACTGTAACGTAAAGGAATGTACTTTTAGAAAAGGTTGCAATTAGGGAGAAGTCACTAGGGCTAGCTAACTTTAAAGTGGGAGAAAATGTTTTTATTTTTATTTGTAGCTGCCTGGTGGTGTATTGTGATGACTTGGAATCTAACATTGTATGTCATTACCCTAGGAATGAGTACTGAACTTATTGTCATTTTTTGCTAAAGCTTTTGTCTTTGACTGTTGATCAAACTGTTGTGAATTTCATTAAAGCAGTCCCAGATGAGAGTACAATTTCTTTCAGGAGTTTACTAGTGAGATATTATTATGTTTGAAAGCCTTATTTCTCCCAAGTGACTGATATAAAAAGTTTACCCACCAAAGTTTCATCATCCGGTACCCTCGATAGTAAGTCTAGCACTTCATTATTGGGTATCGTGTGTGGTCGAAGGATTTTTCTCGTGAACTTATTTATACCTGTAAATGAACAAATAGGTGCTTACAATATTTCACCGAACTACTCCGAAAAAGGACTGAGAAGAAAAATTGTGGTAATATTTGAGAATGTGTGTATTAATCAATTCAACACACAACGCCAGTTGTTACTTTCAATAAAAAATGGGTTTGACAAATGGCGTTTTTTTAATATCATTATTATTTTACAGGAATATTTCATTATTTTTTTAAATGTATTTTATTTCATATTAATTGATTTATTAAAAAATTTAATAATCTTTAAGACTGTTATTAACTATACTTAACAGTGAAGCATGCGATTTACTAACGCCATCTAGCGTTTTATTCGGCGACTCAAGAGATAACAAGTGTTGCCAGACGTTATTATTAGAAATAAATCATTGGAAAATTAAGCTTACCCCACGCCATAAGAAGATACCTCAAAGGTATGATGTATAACACGATCATAGCTCCTAATAACATTATTATTGCTAAATAACTTAGATATGGCACTGTGAAGTTCGTCAAGCTGAAAATTGAGAACAGTTTAGTTAATTAAAATAACAAGCAACAATAGAAAAATATAATATATAAGTTATTAGAGATGTATCACATGATGTATGTACACATACCAGACCCGAAACAACAATTTGTGGATCATACAAAGTATTGTTCGGTGCGGGAATCGATCCCGTTTCACCTGGCACAGCAGCCAGTTACCCAGATACTGCTTCAACCATGGAGTTGTTTGAAGACTGAAGGTTTGAAAATACAAGACAGGAGATCGGCAATGGTTGTTAGGCCTAGTGTACCCTCACATACAGGGTAAAACACAATGCAAGAATTGATTCACGTCGGTTTTCTGTGAGGCAGTGGTATCAATTTTTTTTAATGTTATAAGTCGGCAAACGAGTAGACGGATTACCTGATGGTAAGCAATCGGCGCCGCCGATGGACACCCGCAACACCAAAGGAGTTACGAGTGCGTTGCCGGCCTTTTGGGGATGGGGGTTGCGGATATAAGGATTGGGAAGGGATAGGGGAAGGGGAGGGATTGTAACTCCTCCTTTGCGGGTGTCCATGGGCGGCGCTGATTGCTTAACATCAGATAATCCGTCTGCTCGTTTGCCGACCAATTACATAAAAAAAAAGACTTACTCCGTGCGGTTACCTCAATCTCGTAGTGAAATACAACAAAAGTGTTGTTTAATGCTACGCTGAATATGCATGCACCTTACTATACGAGTATCTACCGTGGTCAGTATAACTCCGGTCGAGTCAGCCCATTCGCGCCAAAGCCCATCCATATTAAACTTTTTTTTATGTAATAGGTTGGCAAACGAGCAGACCGATTACCTGATGGTAAGTAATCAGCGTCACAAATGGACACCCGCAACGGAGGAGTAACGAGTGCGTTGAAGACCTTTTAGCGATTAGGGTTTTGGAGATTTAGGGATTGGGAGGGATCGGGGGAGGGGAAGATTGGGCCTCCTGTGACCTCACTCACACGGCGAAACACAACGCTGAGGTTGTTTCACGCCGGTTTTTGTGAGGCCGTGGTATCACTCCGGTCGAGCCGACCCATTCGTGCCGAAGCATGGCTCTCCCACACTTAAACGTCACTACGTCTTATTCGATAACAATCTACTGAATTAGTTAAGTATAATTTTATTCTTACTTTTTAACCGCTTCTCCTAGAGAGGCGACATAACCGATCGCATTTTGTACAGTTTGCGTCACTTCTTGTATCGCTTGCAGTCTCTCTTTCAGAGATTTTTTCTCCTCCTGAGAATTTAATAGAATATTGTCAGTTATGACGTGCTCTAGCGATGAAATTGGGTAGTTTCCATGGTCAAAAATCAATTAGTACGACGTTTTAACTCAATAAAACGTTGAAAAATAATCATAGTTACTTTCATTATTTAATCTGGCAATAGTTACAGTTAATTTTTACTATTTACTAGCTAAAATATTTACGAAATAAGTTAGTCTATTTTACGCAAATATACTGTGACGATTTTATTCACATTTTATAAGAGCGTTACGTTATGAATGTTTTGGAAAAGTATTGAATTTGACAAGTTGGAAACTACTGGATCTTCTACACTAAACAGTTGAACACTAAGTTACCTTATCTGCTTCATCTTCATCGTCTTCCTCAGCTAAAAGATCCTCATCATCAACTGGCACCAGTAAAGGGTTGCCTCCTGTAAGAGGAGGATTACGCGTGAATCTTTGAACTTATTGAAATTTCAGTTTCTTTCCACAAATGGTATTTAAATCCTCGCTTATCGAATAAGTGGATAGAAAAGTTAGTATAGGTATGTGTGTACGGCGATAAAAATAGATGTAATTCGTGAAAAGTCATTGTAAATCCGTTATCTACATTAAGTTTTTCATTCACCATTAGTCAAAGACAGCTTTGAAATAAAGAAGGAGGCGCCATTTAAAGCAACAGAATTTTAAAACACATTAATTTTCTTTTTGGTAATTAATAGGGTTACTTCCTCAATCAAGCATAGGAATTCTTCTAATGTTTAGCGAAAATGATGGCTAAACTTCTAGGCGGTGTGTTTTGGTTAGAAAGAGGTAGAGAGAAAGAGACAGCTGATATCAATACAAAGAACAAACATAAAGGCATGACACACAACACCTAGACTTACTAAGAAATAAATATTTAAAATAAGCCTTCGGATCACTTCGTAAACATTTCAGGAAGTATTTGATTTTGACTAAAAAATAAAATAAAATATACTAAATAAATATCGTAAGTTGGATTTAAAAACATTAAAAATATCTACGTAGGAAATACAAAGAGAAAGAAATAATAACATGCTTAACTGTATAGGTCAGGTTCTAAAGTAGAAATAATTGCCAAAAGCAATTTGGCGTTGATCGTTGTGTTATACAATATTATAATTGATGAATAAATGGAGATAGAAAAAGAAGGAACGAAAGCAAATCTTGAAGATAGAAATTAATTTTACTATAAAGAATAATTTAAAGAAGAAAGACCACCAGCACGTCGATTCTATGAAATTTGTTTGATTTTGAATCGTGTTCGAGTGCGAAGTGAGCGTCGAAGTGTCGGGGAAATAAAATTTTAACGTCATCTCATACTTTATCTATCAAAATGTTGCTGTCAATTTAGTTCAATTTGCAAGTGTAGCGCTAGTGTACTACTACTCACAGCGGGTTCAGATTCGAAGTTTAGAATGAAGTCTTACAGAATCACACTGCAGTTCTAAGTATGATAGAAATATAGTTGAATAATTTAGTTGTACATACCAGTAAGTCTATAAATAAGCCAAGCTCTGCTGAAAAATATTAGTATCAGTAGCGGCAGCATCCACATTTCGTAGTAATAACAGAAGGCGAGCCATAATAACAGGCCTAAGAACGAAAGTATCCTCGACTCCCATTCGAAACAGTCTCTGAAAGAATGAAATATCAAATTAAATTTTTACACGATTGGGAAAAACATATTGTTACTTCTATCCATGTCATCTTCCATTTATAAAGACCAATTTAAGGGTTTATAGTTATCTAAGCATATACGTTGTAGTAACTGTAATGGACAATTGTATTGCAGATCAAATTCAACGTTCATTAATCCGATAAATATCTTCTTGATACTTAAAATCAAGTATCATTAATTTTTTATTAGCTAACGAGTTAGCAAAATTGTTTGTTTTTTAAGAAAGCTTTGATCAACCTTAGTATTTTTTCCTTTGTCGTGGGTGAGTTTATAAACATAGAAATTCAGAAAAGCCACGCAAACCAGAAACAACAAATTGTGGATCAAACAAAGTGTTGTTGCCCGCGACACTTTGCACAGCAGCCACTTGCCGACTGCACATGTGTGGTATCTACAATCAGCGTAGGAACTTTCATTCGTCTACTTTAAAGTTTCTTTTTATTATTTTGATCATAGCATTCCCACCATCAAGCCTAAATCACTACTTACTGTAAAATCTTTCCAACTTCGATAAACCACATGATGATAGCTTTCAGTCTCATTACATTTCGTATAAACAATTGTCTCTTGAACTTTGCCTCCTGATGCATGTACTTTGGTTCCTTCGGGTTCACCGCCCTGATCGCTGCCTTCAACTGTAATAACATTTATTGTTTCTTCATTATTGTGTTTATTTGTTTTTAAAGCAAGTTCATTTTAGCGAGTCTTTATTAGTGTTAGTTTTTGGTATTTATTTATTTATTTATTGATATGGAAACTCAACAGCTTATTATTAATTTACATGAGTTCTGAGTGTTCACTTCACTATCAATGAACAGCTTAAAGTACTTACTGAACAGTGATAGCAAAATGATGACAAAAATTATCTCTTAAGCCAATAACAGAGTCTCACGACATTACAAAGGACAAATGCAACTAGAAGTGGGAAAATTTTACACAAATGCAGCTACTAAAAAATTATAATAAAGGAATGTTGACACTATGTTCACATTCGCAAAACAAAATTGTGATATGTTTATAGGATTTTGGGACAACAGCAAAAACTGATAAACCAAGAAAAAACGGGAACACGGTTACCTTCATACGCGCTTTAGATGATAAAACATTATAATCAACAAATGTGATGAAAACTGAAAAAAAGAAAAAGGAAAAATGAATCATGGCACAACCTTTTAACGAAATAATATCTATCAAGTGCTATGAGGAACCAGTCCCAATCCCGCGACAAAACTCCAACGAACAAGCTTCTATCGCGGAATCAAAACCAGACATCCCCCACAACACCTAATGTCGCGGATTTTCGTAAAGTAACAGCTGATTCCGAATCTACAATTTATCAAACAATATCTGTTTGACTTGCTTCCGGTATGACTGTTTGGATAACTGAAAGATATCGACATTTTCAAAACTCTGCGAGGCAAACGCGTCATAACTGCATTTCTTCCGTATTTGGTGCGGCAGCCAGGGATACTGAATAATTTTGCATGCCTCGTTCGTGTTTTTGGGGCACAGAAATTTATACATGATAGCAGATCACTGCTGTCCAAACGACCTCGTAAGATATCAAAAAGCAAAAGCATATCCAACATCACACGCCTATCCACAAGGGGAAGCATATCATAGTGTTTACAGTCACGGGCATAGGTGTCATGACGCCTTTGCGATTTAAAATTTAGAAATTTTATGAACTTTTTCTGTAGATTTTCGATTCTCCTAATATAAATATCGTACTGAGGTGACCAAACTGGGCTACAGTATTCCAAAATACTACGCACATATGCAAAGTAAATGGTCTTAAGACTGTGACAGTTCCTAAAAGGCTTACAAGTACGCATTACAAAACCAAGGTTACGAGAGGCTTTATTAGTGATGGTGTCGATGTGTTGGTCAAAGAGCAGTTTGGAATCTAACACTATACCAAGATCTCTGACCACATCAACCCTTTCGACCGCACTGCTATTAAAACCATAAGGATAGATAATTGGGTGTTTGGAACGGGTAAAGCTAATGCATTGACATTTGGATACATTGACAGTGATATTGTTTTGTTGATAATACCTGTACAATGCATCAAGATCACGCTGTATGAGTTCACAATCAAGTCTAGATTTAACACACATGTATATTTTCATGTCATCAGCGTACATTAAATGTTTAGCGTATTTAAAACAGGACTGGATGTCATGCAGGTATGCGCAGTAAAAAAGAGGACCGAGTAGAGATCCCTGGGGAACACCGGAGGGGATATTCACGAAGTCAGATTTATGACCTCCCATGACTACAGCCTGCGATCGGTTCGACAAATATGACCTGACCCATCTCAGCAAATCACCACGGATCCCAAGTGTTTGCAACTTTGCCAGCAGGATGACGTGATCCACACGATCGAATGCTTTTTCAAAATCCGTGTAGATCACGTCAACCTGACCGCCGGTTTCCATATTATGCAAGACATAGTTACAGAACGTGGCTAAGTTTGATGTTGTGGACCGGTTCCTAACGAATCCGTGTTGATTCTGACCTAAACCGTACGAAATAATGGGATATATACTATTATAAACGATTTTCTCAAAAACTTTACTAAGAGTATTAAGAATAGATATTGGCCGATAGTTTTTTATGTCCATCTTGGGCCCCTTTTTATGTACCGGCACTATATGAGCTGTTTTCCACAAAGAGGGACAGAAACACTCAGCCAGAGACTTTCTGAATAATAAAGCTATAGGATGTGCTAAACTGTCCGCGCAATTATGCAAAAAAATAGGAGGCAATCCATCGTTCCCAGGTCCCTTTGTTATATCTAACGCACGCAACGCCTTAAGTACAGTGTCAATGGTGATATCGAGGTTACATATGACATCTGCTGAGCCGTTTACTACATTAAGTGTATTCGTAGCTGCAGCAGTAGGCGTAGATGGGCTAACGAAAACACTGTGAAAGTAATTGTTAAAAGCTGTACAAATGTCAGGACCGGTCTCCAATGTCATGTTACTCAAGGTCATTGTTTTAGGATATTGACTGCCGCCTCTTTTACCTTTAACATAAGCCCAGAAAGCTTTCGGAGAATAACTGATCGCTTTCTCTGTCTGAGCTATGTGGTGTTTAAAGGATGATGCTTCAACATTGCGTTGCCTGGAACGTAATAATGTAAATTCGTAGTAGTCCCTAGGGTTACCATATTTTTTCCATCTTTTATGAACCTTAGTTTTCTCACGAATGATTTTTATCAGAGAACGACTGTACCAAACAGGGTATTTATGACTTTTTGATTTATCAATTAAAGGAATGAAACTGTCCACGCCAAGTTTAACTTCATTATAAAACGATTTAATAGCAACGTCCACCGAATTAACACTCAATTTATCAATCCAGTCTATTTTGTTAAAGTATTTATTCAGTTCTTTATAATCCCCTTTGTAGTAATTACGTCGTATTACGTGAGTTTCCTCTAGAGGAAACAAAAATAATTCAGTAGTCATAATGTCAAGAGCAGGATGACGGGAGTCTTCTGGGAGCAAAGGATCATCGCATCTACTTACAGTAAGGGGTACAGTTGAAAAGCATAGATCTAAAATCCTGTTATTAGTATTTGTGATAAGATTGTATTGTGAAAAACCGAGAATGTTAAGGTCGTCTGCAAGGGAGGCGGCAGCCGTTCTCATTTGCAGTGAACAGTTGCTTGATATAGAAAAGCCTTCATCTATCCATGTCAAACAGGGTAGGTTGAAATCACCGATAAGAATAAAATTATGATTACCAATTAAAGCCAATGTGTCCGTTATTGCTTGTCCAATGCTATTCAAGTGTAATGGGATACTAGATATATCGGGGGGTATATAAACAACTATGATATGCAAGTCCTCCTGAGTACCAATGCTCTGAGATGAGAGTGCAACATGCAAGAACTCTGTACCAGTATACTGAAAATCACGATACCGTCTAGTGTAATATTTACTGTTGACGCACAACATAATACCACCACCGGTCTTTTTACCAGTTGATTCAAGATCGCGGTCTTGCCGGAATATCTGATATCTAGCATCGCACAATTCAGCATCAAAAATGTCATCACGCAACCAAGTTTCCGTAAAGATTAGGATGTCATACCTTGAGCGTAAAATACTGTTATACAAATCCAATACCTTAGTTCTCATGCCTCGGACATTTTGGTAGTAAAAACTTAATTGTGTGTTTGCCATGATTCATCATTAATCGTCCAAGTATCGTTTAAAATAAAATAATAGAAGTGGGTATCTTGGCAGTAAGGAAGGTAACGGTTATAAGGGCGATATCTTAAACGTAATGTGCATTTACAAGTTAAATGAGTTTGAGAGGTACAAATATCAACAATCACCATAACAGGAGCACGTAACAGTATAACATTCAAGCATAAGTAAACAAACAGTTTAGTTCGGTTCAAAAGATTACAATACTTTAGATTACACACACAATGTGGGTATGTGGTAAAAACTATATCTAACATTAAGCCAAACATTTTTTTCTTTGTGTCGTAACTCATTAGCGTGTTAAATATGTAACTAGAGGAAAGGTGAGATATATAATGTTCGGAAAAAAATATGTTACTTCTAACAAATAACATCGTTGTATTATTATATTTGTACGCAGTGACTACATATGAGGTTATTGATAGCCTCGATTGACACATTACAACGTAGTTATAACATAAACTATGGAACCATATGAATGTTAGGTTTTAAATATAAAAATACATGTTTAAACAAAGTAATCTAATTATAAAGACTCAGATGAGTTTATGCAAAATATCGAGGTTGCGGATAAAAACTGTGTCACTCGTTTCAGTCTTTCTCGCGTAGACGCGCCCTCCACGCACCCACACAAATTTGTATTTTAGTTCCTTTGCACGTTTACGGGTTGCAGCATGCAAGTTTTTATTGTCTGGTGATAGGTTTTCAACAACATACACAGGAGACTTTTGCATTGAACCAAATCCCAAGTCATGAGTGTTTAATTTGTCTTGAACATTCTTTTTATTGTAAGTCAGGACTGCAGACAGGAATGAATCACGGGTACGGGGCGAATTAAACTTGGTTAATATGGACCGTGGACGGGTACTGTCCGCATTCAACTTCGCAATCCTTGCACAATAATGTATGTCATTATCATTAATCGACACGCTCACCGTTCGGCCAATCTGCTTCACGATATTAATAACATTCTCCGATTTATATTCCGGGACACACTGTATTTCGATATTTGACGCCCTTGATAATTGATCAAGATTAATGAATTTACCCTTAACCTCGGACAAATCATAGTGTAACATCTCATTCTCCTTCTTCAATTGCTTGATTTCATTTCGATATGTAATGTTATCCTGTTTCAGTTTGTCAAATTCATCACTTAGGAAATTCATAGAATCTTTGAAAGCTGATATTTGATCATTGATTTCTTTTAAGTTAGCAGATATTGATACTTTGATTTCGCCAATTGTATCCTGCAAAGCATTACGCATTTCTTCACGTATGATTTCTCTTATATCCGAGCGTAGGGATTCCGTAGATGGGTCTAGTTGCAAGGTATCCAGCCTAGATTGGGTCATCTTACGACGCGTGACATTGAAAGTCACGTCTGCCATCGATGTCGGCGTAGATGGACGCACTGGTATATTAGAATTATCGCTTCTTGGTTGTTTACTCAGACATTGCGGGCATGTCCAGTTAATCGAGGGTTCCTGACCCTGTGTATCCGCATGAGAGAAATCAATACATAGCGTGTGGTAGCTTTTACTACAACGAACACATTTTTTAAAGTCATTATTTGTAACATCTTCATTACAAACCATACAGGGCATTATGTTGACAATTATTCGGTACAGGTGCACTGGATCGAATCACTGTAGTCCTGACAGAGTGAGACAGCAATTATGGATACTATCTCTTGTCGTAGCGGTGAGGTGCGCGGCACCCCGCACGCTGTGGTCGTCGAACACCAAGGCACCACTAATCACATCAGTTATTAAAATTATTCGAATATATTTGGCACAAACTTCAAACAACAATAACTACTAATAACTCGGGGTTTAGAACTATTATTGCTTGAACCACAAAATGTTGACATGCGACACGTCCACTACTAGTGACGGTTAGCGGCCGACGAGTATGACTTCATTCGATATTTTTGAACTTTAATTAGACCTCATTTACCAGTTTTCTAGTTAAAGCTGTGAAGAGTGTCAGACTCTTACTGACTAAAAACCCCCCTGTTCCTACTCCTGCTCTAGGCCGAGGTCGCGGTGCCTCATTGCGCTTACCCCGCAACCCCGGCTGAAACTAAGGTTTAAAGTCATAATCAATACCCATAAAACCATTTGAAAGCTGTTGGTAATCCTTCAAAGTTTAGGCGAATAAAAAGTTCTAATAATGATTCCTTTTTCTACATAACACTACTTTAGTTGCAATCAAACTGAAAACATTTGAAAATTTCTCACATTGACATTAGATTAATAATGATCTCGAACTTACAGGATTCCATATAACCAACATTTCCAACAATATCTGTGGGAAGTTCCCCTTGGCTCGCGCTCTCATCTTCTTGTCTTTCAAGGCGTACCATCTTTTCTCCCCGTTCCTGATGTTCAGCAGCGGGACAGCCAGTTTTCCCAGGAATTCTACTTTATGGTCGTGATCTTCATCATATACTGTTATCTCCAATATTGATGTGATGTCTTTCACTGTACTGAGAATCGACAAAGGATTATGACGTAAAATTTGAAGAAATTATTAAATTTTTCTCTAATAAAGATTATAATATCACATTGTTATTTGGATTCGTTGTTTAATATTCAGGGCAAAAAAGGTTGCACTTTTGATCTACACAAATGAACTTTTTAGACTCTATAATGAGTTAACAAATAAAATAAATAAATATAAATTTGAATCTCAATCTCAAATATATTTTATACAGTCTGATTGTCAGACTTAAATGTATTTTTGGCCTGACAGTAGGATTTTCTTCTTTGTAGTGGGAGAGTTAACAAACATACAATAGAACATACACAAGCTATCCACACCGGAAAAATCTTTTGTGGATTCACACAAAATGTTATTCAGTGCGGGGACCCTTGCACAGTAGGCAGTTGCCCAGCCGTTACGCCAACCGTGTAATCAAATAATAAAATTACTTTCGTAAGATGTTCGCTGTCTAAAACAGTATACAATAGTTAACAAGTTTATTCATTTCAAAACTGCAGACAGACGTAATTTACTTGAGCACAGATGTTGTAACACATGCCTTGAATACAAGAGAATGCAACGTACTGTATTTCTATACACCCACACGAGTTCAGCACGCTCTGGAGTCAGAACTTTGTGTGCACTTTAAGAACTTCTTGAGGTCTTCGGTCTTCGCCTATTTTAATTGGGAACCCCGTTTAAGTTAAGATTGTTTTTGATCTAGTGGAATAGTGGAATGGTCAATTTTACTTTCGTAGATACGAAAAGAATATAACATTGTGTATTAACACAGACTATGAAGGTAAAATTATGTGTGGTGCAATAAGAGCAATGAATTGTCAAATTGGTCAATTCAAGAAAAGAAAATGAGATAGATAGGTACCAGTAGCACAGAATTTTTGTGTTCAGAAATCGATCAATCTAAGCATTTCAAAATTCAAGACCAAGAAATATATATAAACTTAACTAAGCAATATTTTTCACGTAACTGCTCGAAGAAGTTACTCAATCAGTTTCAAGCTACGATCGGGGCTCATAAATCCATAGTTCTCGCGTATATGACATGTGTTTTTTAAGTTCTATAGGTAGACTTATGACGTAACTTACAACGTAAATATTTTCATCCAGTTCGGTGTAAGTGTCTTGTACTCCGTATGCGTCTGTAGCCTTGCATTTCCTAGTTCTAGTACACAGAAGGGGTCAGATTTACCCCCTAAATCGGCAGCTGCAAGTCCTTTAGCTCCATATACTTTGACACAGAGCCATCCAACCCCACTCGACTGCTCGTTTATATTGTACCACGTCTGTAGAATAAACATTTCAATATTTTGACTTTTAAATTGGTGATGTTATTTTGTGTAATACACATTGTTGTTAAAATAGAAAAATAATCTGTACTCATATCATAAATCTTAAGAGTTTATTTGTATCTTTGTACGCGCTAATCCTAGGAACTACTGGTTCGAATTTAATTAAAATTTTTGTGCTGAATAGTTTATTTCTTGAATAAGGCTATAATATCACGCTACGGCTAGTAGGATTCGAGCAGTGAGCGAAGCCGCGTGGAATTAGCTAGTGATGATATATTTTTCGATAACAGCTTTCCTCAAATTTTTGCTCAAAAGGTTTAAATTTTATTTTATTCGGTTCTAAACTCAATGCATTATACTAAAATATACTTCGACTAATTCATTGTACTGAAATAAAACAGGGAATGCAATTATTTTCAAACAATATTAATAATATATAACTTACATATCGCCTTTCAATAATTTCTCTATCTCTTGGGTTCTCCTTGTAGCTGCTGAGGTCTGTAATGGTCTCCGATTGCGTTGTGCCACTGATGGTAAGCAACAAAAATATTTGACCGTTCCCATCTTCTAGATCCTTCCATATGTTATGCGTTTTCTCTCTTTCTAACCTTGATAAGTCTATTGCGCATCTGCAAAAGGACCGTTGTTAAGATGGCTGTCTTGATTCAGTTGTGAAATGCTGATTGTACATTCCTGAGTTTTTTTTTTCGGGTAATCTGTCTGGTAATCATAGTTTATGCATTTGAGCATTTGAAGAATCTATGTAATGTATTCTACTACTATTATAAACGCAATGGATGTATGTTTATTTGTCTTCCTCTTCACTACTGAACGGATTTTAATGAAAATTATGGTTTGAAAAATAAGCTACTTTTTATTCGGGAATCGCGAGCGTAACCGTTGGCAGAAGTTAGTTCTTAATAATAAGAAAGTCACAACCGGTTTCCGAAAGGCCGATCAATGTTAAAATCAATTTAACATTGATCATGGTAAATCTCTTGTCGAGTCATCTGATTGGTTGACTGAATTATCAACAACCAATCAGTTGACTTGACAAGTTATTTACCAGGATATTAGTTAATTTTAGCGTTGACAAGCCTTACAGAAACCGGGTGTCAGTGTAGCAATTTTTTTTCAAATTTGTGACTATAAAAATGATTTTTTTCCTGTCGATTTTTTCTATAAAAATAATATGTAAGTAGTCAGGATAGCTTACTTAACCAGATAAATTTGAATATAGAACGTGATTTGCATTAACTGATACATTTATCGAGAATTTATACGAGCGTATAAATCTCGTATGAATGCGGTGGGCAGACCCTTTATTGAATGTAATAGGCAAACGACCAAACAGAAATTAAGACCGATGAGAAAATTAGCACTGTTGTTGTCATTAGCTAATTTAGTTCGAAGTTCGTTGAACTTTACTAAATAAACCTGTCGACCCAAATCATAATTGTTCGTAGCATTAATTAAATAAGGTAACACTATACAATTTGCTCCTGTAATTAATTATTCAGGCTATCTACTAGCATTTTGTGTTCATTACTTGGCTATATTTTGTTTTAAAATTATTTGCAAAATTAAATATCATCAAATCTGGATTATCGAGACGCGCTGTACGTTCTTTTTTGAGGAGGATAATCTAACAAATTCTCTCACCCGGAGTGGGTCGAGGCTTCGGCATCTTGTTGCGCTTGCCCCGCAACCCGGGCTCAACAACAGCCTTGTTGGCTTGGCTGGAAAAGTGGTGGACTATTGGCTCTTTAAGGCGACCCGCGCTTAACAGTGGCCGGCGATTGTCAGACGAAATGTCTCCTATTGCGACGCATGGGAATGGAGGATCACTCCTTCTTTGGGAACATCACTGCTTCAAAGAATAAGGAGACATATTCCCACTTGCTCTTGCTCCGCAACATGGCCACAACTCAGGCCGGACGCGAGTGTTCGGCGCCTCCGATCACATACCTGAGAACACGCCGGTGCTCAGCCCACGTAGGGCACACCACTACTGTAGGCTCCATCGTTTTCTCCGGGTGGGCCGCCCCATGACGACAACCGGGCGTTGAACCGAAATAGGTATCTACCAAAGCTTTCTTGTCCGGTAAGCACCTACATCAAGCGGAAGGTGCGTACGCCATGGCGTTTCTCTAGCCACTCCTCAAAGAGCGATCGTAAAAGACGAAGAAAAAGATCTCCCTGATACCCTATAAACTTTTTATGGCAGACGTTGCAGCGTAGCATACGTCCATTATGTTTCCCTCCAGGACACTATAACGGCTTTGGTCCTAATAGTCCACCATTAATAAAGGTTATTAAGTAAACCAATTTGTGTAACAGCTTCGAAACCACATGATGAGCAATTTGCTCTTTACGACTCTGTAACTGGGCTAAGGTAAAGACAGCAACTATTAAAGCAATTTCTACTTTCTGAACTTTCTTGTTGAGATCAAAGTCCTATGGACATGTTTTGGTAGTATAGACGGATGGAAAAATAACTAGCTTGTTTGCTTGTTTCTTCGTAAGGTCTTAGTGCGACCCAAAATGGAATGTGGTTAATGGTATTTGTTCTATAATAGGAAGTGAAAACTTATAGAGTACTTTATATTGATCATGAAATTTGGCAAAGAGCCAGTTTCGATGTGTATTTCGTTCCAGGATTGTGAATGTAGTATAGAAAAGTAATTAATGAACAATTTTTTTCAGTCCTCCACATGGTCCTTCGTTATACTGTGCGGCTATAACTTGCGTGAAAAATTGATAGTCTTTTCATTAAAAAAAAGTCTGAATTGAATACTTTTTTATTCTTATTCAATCCTTTTTCAATTAGACTTATTTAATAAAATTATTTTTTGCATAATATGTGTGTTTAATGAAAATCAGTTCAGCAGTTTCAATAAAATTGTACTTGGAATATTATTTAGTAACAATTCCCGCGTAAACTTCTTAAAAATAAAAAGCTTCGAGTGATGGATAGACGTCTTTATTATCTACCTTTTTTATTTCTTTTTTATTATTTTGCAACCTTCACGCGACTATAAAATATTTTTAGTATACCTTAGTTACTTCACACGTAAACGATATTAAAATAAATGATTATATTTCCACTCACCTGCCAATAAAGTCATCTTTAGACTGCTTGTCCTTGTCCCAAACCGTGACTTCTAGTATTTGTTCCTGGTCGTCATACAAATGCAGGTCGAACTGTTCCAACCACGAAGGATGTAAAGACTTCCAAACTACTTTACTTTTATATTTCTCGTTACCTAACCTGCAACAGAATAAACAATTTAGAGAGATTCAGAGAAAATATGACCATGTAAATGTAGTCTTGTAGTAAAAAATGTCGTGGTGGCCCGGAGGTTAAGCAGCCCGCTTCTCATGCATAAGGGTGTGGGTTCGAAACCTGGCAAATACCAATGTGACTTTTTCCGAGTTATATGAACTTTCTATGATTATTTAGACACCACTGACATACGGTGAAGGAAAACATCGTGAGGAAACCTTTACTTATAATTTCTAATTATAAGTTTGAAATCGCCAACCCGCATTGAGCAAGCGTGGTGATTAATGCTCTAACCTTCTCCGTATGAGAAGAGGCCTTTGCTCAGCAGTGGGCACTTATAGGCTGATGATGATGAAATGTAGTCTTGCAAAATTTGTAAAACTTGTAAAATTACATTATTATGAATGGATTAATAAGAAGACTCCAGGACATCTCCTTCTCATCATCTCAATGTCTACTAAGGCGAATCATACGACACGGTCGGTAATGAATATATACTTTTTAATTAACTTTGTCACACCCTTAAACTCTCCTGTATCGAGGGTATCGGTTAAAAACATATAATTGCACATCCACATCATACCCAAACCAGAAACAACAAGAAACAAAAATTTGCAAAAATAATTGTTCTTTAAGGTAATCTACGTGATTTCACCAACTTAGTTGCACAGCAGCCATTTTGCCAACTGTGCTCTTTATTAGCCTTTCTCTATTAGTTAAGTAGAAAGAGATGAGAATAATGGTAGGTATTCTGTTTATCTCATTTTTACATAAGTACCAACCATTTTTTCTTATAAAAGATTAAGTGTGGGAGAGCCATGCTTCGGCACGAATGGGTCGGCTCGACCGGAGTGATACCACCGCCTTACAGAAAACCGGCGTGAAGTAACCACAGAGTTGCGTTTCGCCGTGTGAGTGAGGTTACCGGAGGACCAATCCTTCCCCACCCTTCCCCTCCCCCAATCCCTAAATCTCCAAATCCCTAATCCCTAAAAGGTCGGCAACGCACTCGTATCTCCACCGTTGCGGGTGTCCATGGGGGGGCGCTGATTGCTTACCATCAGGTAATCCGTCTGCTCGTTTGCCGACCTATTACATAAAATAAAATAAAAATATTAATCTGCTTCCACTGTTCGTTGCTGTATTACTTAAAAACATAACAATGAAGTTTTGTTCTCAATTGTCAGACAAAATAGAATGTTATTGATGAGTAGGATACTTCTTACATACTCAAGAGGACATTTGTCCGAGTAATTTGATGTTTTCCCATTCTTCAAAAAAAAGGAGATCGCAAAAGTTCGCAAATAAAAAGTTAAAGAAAAAAAAAGAAAACTTTGCTGTAAGTACTTACCTAAATTTACAATAAGGGTCGCTGGATCTAGTATCTAGGTCCATAGCAGGAAGATTTTTAGCCTCAACTAGTACGATGGTGACCACCGAACTCCATATCTGAGCCTTCAACCGTTTGTTCACATCACTTAGCCTCGTGTTCTTCATTAAATACTGAAAACAAAACAACATGTGAGCAACATAAAAAAGAAACTAAGTTTTCCTGGTCTTTTCTTCTTGAAAGACCACAGGATAGAGAAGACCGGGACCGGGTCTTCTTCCTAAAACCCAAGTAAGTGAATATAACGAGGACCTAAGATGACCCACTAACCGCGGAATAATGTACCGGAGAAAGAATGGGGTGGGTTTTAGTCAGTAAGACTCTGACACTCCCTGTTGGCCGACCAAGGGATGAAGAAGTCGTATGACGATAATCTTCCTACCAAAAAAGAGGGCCCAAAACCCGAGGTTAACTGATATGTGGAAGTTATGGTACAAACGTTAGCTATATATATCAGTACGTACAGAATAAAAACAGCCATTATTTTGCCGAAATCCATTCTAGGAAAAATATGTTTGTCTGAAATGTGAAGGATAATATTGGCGGCTAATAACGACGGGGAACAGTTGTAAAACTTTTACCCTATTATATAAGTTAAATAATACATAATTGTGTATAGGTACTTTTTATAACATTAAATTTTAGTAACAATACACAGGGAAATACATATTCCGCCACCAATATCGCTTTAATCATTAACTGTTTCAATCCTTGATTACCTATTGCTGGGAATCGGTTTTCCTCTATTTATAAAACACTTTAGTTCCGTGTAACCCTTACCCATTAGCACTGACAGTATTGAAAATATTAACTGAGGTTAATATATTTAATGAAAAAAAAATGTTAAAAAAAATGTGTTAAAAAGAATCTTTTCCCTGGACTTATAATTTCTAATTTTAAATTTGAAATCGTCACCCTACATTGAAAAGCGTGGTGATTAATGCTCTCCGTTTGAGAAGAGGCTTTTTCTCAGCAGTAGGTACTTATAGGCTGATGATGATGATGATGATGAATAACTTTCAATTTATAGTTTTAAGTGTCTGAAAAATTTGCTCGTAAGGAGTTTGCTGATTTGTTAATTGAAGTACCTATCGATATATGTATAGATAAGATATTTTCTCCAAAAGTTAAAAAAACACAAAGGATTTTGAACACAACATTTCTCCTAAAATTCTTCAAACAACAGTTTACTAGGAAAACCTTGACATATCAATTTATTTGATGGAATACTCATTTTTGTATAAATACATTGACAGGAACTTATAAACAATCACTTTAGTTCGTTCGCTAATAGTTTTCTAAAAGACATGTTTCCATTACTTCTGTTACAGAAACATTTAAGACAATCGACGAACGGAAAAATAAACATGTTGGAATCCTTTATGTTGACTCCAGCTTTACAAGCTACCCTAAGCAGTATCGTTAAATTTAAACTTTCTCAGAAAGAGTTAAAGTAGAAAATCTACTAATAGAGTAAGGTAGGTTAATTTGCTTGGCGTTTGTTCCTATTTTGGCATGCACACAGACAAAACATTCTTAACTATATTATCAAAGGTCTATTTGCTTGGGACATAGTTCATTTGTTTTTTATCAGTCTTCATAGAATGTGTTAAATTATTATGCCATCATCGTTTTGAATTGTATTATGACAATAAACAAATCTTTATTTAATCAAAGATTCTGTTTTACCAATAGAAAACTGTTCAAAGCAAAATCTCCATTTACGCCCGTCACTTTTTTTATGTCAGGAGAAAATCATCAAATGACTTCTCCCGCCCAGGGTAAGAGAGAGAGTGTCAGACTGACTAAAAACCCCCTATTCCTTCTCCTGCTCTGGACCGAGGCCGCGGTCACTCATTGCGTTTAACCCGCAATCACGGTTGTAAGCAGAGATTCCTATGACATTTATCGTTTTAGTGAATTGAAGCAGCAAAATCCAAAAACATGTTACATTGTTAGTTTCCCAAATTAATATACACAAACAAACACAAATCCAGCCAGATAATGTTATAAAGAACCACATTTTATAAACAACCACACATGTTTTGTTTTGTAAGCTTCTAAAAAGGATTTCGACGTACCAAAACCAAATTAGTCTTATTTAGAAGTCTTGTCGAAGTGAAAAAATATGTCAATATAAATATAGTAGCTTCTGTCGCGCAGTTTCACTCACTGCACGGCTCCTAGAAATTGTAGCGTGATGTTTTATAGCCTAAAACCTTCCTCGATAAATGTACTAATAAACACAAAAATAATTATTCAATTCAAACCAGTAGTTCTGGACATTAGCTCGTTCAAACAAACAAACTCTTCAGCTTTATATATTTTTTTTTTTTTAATACGTTGCCCCACACTAGGATTTTCTCCTGTGTCGTGGGTGCGTTTTCAAACATACAATTTCACATGCACATCACACCCAGACCCGGAACAACAATCTATGGATCACACAAATAGTTGTTCCGTGCGGGAATCGAACCCGCGACACGTTGCGTGGCAGCCAGTTGCCCAGCCACCGCGCCAACCTTGCAGTCAAATATTATATGTAAATAGTATAGATTGTCCTATTTTTTCTTAATTGTATTCATTACTCCGTAGTTTTCTAGCTATGTACTAATATAAAATGAATAGGCGGCAATGTAATACGTAATAGCTGAGCCTAGACTATAATTTCCTGTATGACTGCAAGGATCTAGATATAAATGACATTGAAATATGATATTTATTGTATCTACGTGAGCAGTAGGACTATTTATTTTAACTGTACTTTTTGCCCTTATTTATTTATAACCTATAGTTATTTAAAGAAGAAACCTTTGAATAGGTAGTTCCGCCTTGTTTCAGATTTGTTGTTATCACGTTGAGCTGGCCCAATGGGGCCAGGCGAACGAAATATGAGACTTAGCAACAACCTATATCTAGAAAAACAATGTTTCCACAAATCAAATAAAGCTATACTGTTAACAATGATTTCATCAATTGATAGAACTAATGGTTCGCGTCGAGTCATCAATCAAATTAATGAAAGATGTCAGTTGATGACCTTAATACAGAGGGCGATGAAGATTTTGATAAATGTGGGAGAGCCGTGCTTCGGCACGAATGGGTCGGCTCGACCGGAGTGATACCACGGCCTCACAGAAGACCGGCGTGAAGTAACCACAGCGTTGCGTTTCGCCCTGTGAGTGATCCTTCCCCAATCCCTGCTCAATCCCTAAATCTCCAAATCCCTAATCCCTAAAAGGTCGGCAACGCACTCGTAACTCCTCCGTTGCGGGTGTCCATGGGCAGCGCTGATTGCTTACCATCAGGTAATCCGTCTGCTCGTTTGCCGACCTATCACATAAAATAAAAAATGAAATAAAAATAAAATACGAGTACTACTTAGGCATCGGTACCCATTTTAGTATAAGGTTGGCAAACCAGTTGGCGGATCCAGGAGGTAAGAGCACTTAATTTCACTTGACCAAAGTGTACAAAATTGTTTTTAGAAATATTAACATTCGTAAAGGTAAATACAAATCAAAGTTATCTAACTACCTCCAAAACATTCACCCACGTTTCACCGCATCGAATGAGGATTGAGATTCTAATCTAACTTTGAAAACGTTTGCATATGAATGGAAAGGAACCCATGTTATATATGTAAGGTCACTATTTAAGACGAAGATCCTTAGGTATTTCTGTTTTCAAATATGAAGATGAAAGAGTAAGAATACTTTGATACCTATGTATTTTTTAATTTCTGTCACGATTAAAAACAAAATTTAAATCGCGCCCGTATTTTCTGTACATAAGGAAAATAACAATTCTAACTGGAGTAGGCAGAACCTAAACGTACTGCAATCCTTGGATAAACGCCAGGGTTGCGTGTCAAGCACTATAACGTACCGGAGCAGGAAAAGGAACGGGGTGGTTTTTTGTCAGTAAGAGTTTGGCTCTCCCTCTCTAGAGAAATAATTTGGTGATTTTGCTCTCACAAGAAAATATTCTTGCATAAATATGTCAAATGCCTCGGCTCTGTATCTATCAAATTATATTATTAGTAGAACAGTCGTAGACGCGTTCGCTACAGACTTGAAGAATGTCAAAAAAATATTTGAGGATATCTCGACTTGATTTCTTATATAGAGGAAGCGAACTTTATAAACAATGCAGTAAAGAATTCGAATCAAACATACCATGCTTTAGAGAAACTAAACTATTTGAGGATACTAGGGTCGAACTTTGAAACATTAGCGACACGAGATCAATGACGCATTGTTGTTTGTCCTTCGCCGGGTTTATGGGACAACGGATATTGCAAAGCTTTATATAAATACAGAATGTTCCAACCGTGTACAGTATCCTAGAGCCTGGTACTTTCCAAAGTATTCTAGAAGCTGAAGGTTTTCTAGTTATAACAAGCCCCTTTTTTTTTTTTTTTGTCAGGGGAAAATCAAGACTTCTCCCGCCCAGGGTAAGGCGAGAGAGAGTGTCAGACTCTTACTGACTAAAAACCCCCCCGTTCCTTCTCCTGCTCTGGGCCGAGGTCGCGGTGCCTCATTGCGCTTACCCCGCAGCCCCGGCCCCTACGAAGTTATTTTTAGTTATTAGAGTTCCTAATAACTTCTGTATCTTGGTTATCGTGTGTTTTCTTAGGCATTAACGAGTTTCAACTAGCAAACAATGATCGTCCATGTACAAATCAAACATATCGAAAGTAAGATGGAGTTTTTTTATGATAGAATAAAAGACAAACAGTCAGACGAATCACCTGATGGCAAGTGATCAGCGCCGCTCATGGACACCTGCGGCACCATAGGAGTCGCGTTTTTTTATAGATAATTATCTACAGCCGATTAGAGCAGATTATACAAATCGATCGTTTTTCAATGGTTACATAAAAGTTATCTACGGAATAATTATGATGTTGCGTCAGAATGAAATAAAATTGAAAACAATGAAAAAAGTACACGAAAGCCAAGAAAAGTTTTGATAAGGTTCAATAAAAGTTACTTTAGTGACTGATAGCGACGGTCGAAAGTAGGTATAAAACAGTTTCTTCAGTCAGCCAATACGATGACATAAATGAAATTGGAATTGATGTTCTGTGGAATCGATTATTCCAATCGTTACAACAAAATCTGTGAGCCGCGGAACATAGACGCCTACGAGTCTGCCATAGAATCCAATTTTCTACTCGACATTTTCATTTTCGTACCGTGAAAGCGCAGACATTTCTTGAAATCTACAAAAGAAATAGAACCGTATCTACTTTTATGGCTATTTGAGCCTTGATTTGAGTCGTGACCAAGCCCACAGAAATCGTCACGCGTCACGTAAACAGAGTATCGAGTGAGGCGGTTTGCCCTGTTTAGGCTCCGCATCGCCGTGTCCTCAGGGAAGTAATCGGCGGCAATGACCTTTATTGTCCGGCCTTAGTCAAGGTCATGATGCGGAGAGAGAGACATTAGGTAAACAGAAAGGAGGATACCCTCTTTCTGTAAAGCTGTGATACTCGCAAAGAAGAAGTCGGAGCGCGCCAGAGAAATATCCTCCTCCAGCCCGCGATATCTCACGACGATTTCTGCGCGCTTGTGTTTGACGTGCAACCTGACCGAAGCATACGGTGAGAAGTGTCCCGTGCGCGTCAAAGACTTAATTTACCACCACATATCAGGCCTAGCAGTGCTAATTTTCGGCCAGGGTTACGGGCCAAGATCAATAAAGTACCGCGGCCCCGACCTGTAGCAAAAGAAGAGACTGGGGGGTTTTTAGTCAGTACAAGTCTGACACTCCTTCTCTCCCCACCATGGGCAAGACGGAATGTCATATGATTATTTTTCCGTTACAATAAAAAAACACCCAGTAACTAGAGTCACATAAGCAACTAACATCAGTTAATAGGTGAACTTACATGCCGAGAATTAAATCTTTGCAAAGCGTGATAAAGGAAACGAAATCCTATTCGTAGAAACCTATAGCATAAATAGTTACCATTAAAACTAATGACGTCACTTAATAAAAACACGACGAAATGTTACCCCATGTTAATAAAATTATCTAATTTCCATAAGTAATTTTAATAATATCCATCCTATTTACATATTGTTAGTAACAGCAATGTACAATCGGCGTAAAATACAATAAAACACTATCCATTGCCAAGTTAGAACACACCACAGAAAAAGAAAGCGTACAAAAATCTCATGCTGTTAACACCAACGCTATAAAACCAACTATACCCTATGAAATCTGTCGCTTTGGCTCTTGAATTTTGGAAATTTGTTGCTGAATTTCTCGATGAGATCGGAGCAAACGAGTAATGGTGATGATTGGTCCAATACTGCTCCTGGCGGAAGACTGCCAGCTCTTGGGCGTGGTTCTGACGATCTGTGGTTATAATTCAAAAAATAAAGAAATGTTTTATTAAATTATACTGTTACTAAAGCTATGCGAGAGCATAACAGTCGAGCTTAAATTCTGAACCACCCTTTAAGGGCATTGGTTATTATGGGTATATGAAGTGTTTACGTTGATATAATTAAATTTAAAACTGAGGAAAATATTAAATTAAATAGGTTTTAGGTAGGTAGGATGTAAATTGAAATAATAATTTATTGTGAAAATACTAGTAGATTATGTGAACACCAATTCCTATAAGGAAAAATAATTATGTTCACAAAAATATACAGCTGATTGATTGGTCAAATAACCACAAAGGGTCCTAGAGAATAAGGTTAAATAACAGAACCAAAAGTTGAATCACAATTCGATTACCTTTCTCTTTCTTCACTGGACGAAAAACACGACAAGCAAGATTCACTGGAGCTGTCATTATTCATGTCATCGTACGCGAGGTTGCACGCCGAGTGACTTTTATACAGAACGGTGCCTGAACCTTGTTCAATTTTAATGAATTCCTTGCAGATATCCTTTGGGTTTTCATTGTCTGTCGGTCCATCAATAACAAATGAAGGTATAGTTGGATTCTCTTTACCAACGTCGCCTTCACTAGAACTCAGTTCAACACTTTCTACAGAATTGTCGTCAACTGAACTCCTTGTTTCTTCAGACAAATGAGAAATAAACTTTGATAGCTTTGACCTTTCTATTTTATTCTGAACTTGGTCTTGAAACTCGTCCATACGGTCTTGTATTTTCCCATGAAATGTCATGAAGCGATTTTTCAATCGGTCCATTTTCTTTTCACTCATTTTCGCACTTTTTACTTCACTTTTGCTCCTATCATCACATGTTTCTTCTAGCGCGTTTACATACAAAATGATTTTTATCACGCGTCCAACTCTATTAGGGATAAAATTAGAACTGAAGTTTTAATCTGATCTGTTAACTGATTCCCAACATAATGTAAATTCTAAGAAAATAGTTTGTTGAATTTATAGGTCTTTGAAATTTAGTTAATTCGCGTTAAATTTAACGAAAACATGAATTGTGGAACATCTAGTTTGTTTGAATTCGCGTGAAACACTGAACTAACATTTTAGATGGCGGAAAACAATATAAAATATCTATGAATGTATACGTATGTATTTTTGGATGTAAACAGCAGATGTGAGCTAACAAGAAGCATTGCTTCTGGCGCCGAATATTAAACACGATGTGTTTAGCGTTGTGATGATAAAAATACATAATAAAAGAATCGTGATTGTGAAGTTATTGTTGGTGTAATGAAAATACTAATCTAAGTTAGTGATCGTTAAATGATAATTCTATTAATGTATATTTTTGTTTATTTAAATTTTACGTATTTATTTTTGTACCAACTTTTATCAACAATATCTGTAATCAAGTTGGAAATAATTTTTTTTTTTCTTTATGGACGCTGTGCTTTTTATTTAACCTCTTTATTTTTTAAAGAATAGGAGGCAAACGAGCTAGCGGATGGTGGTGCTTAGTGATCAGCGGCGCCCAAGGACACCTGCAACACCAGAGGAGTTACAGGCACTTTGCCGGCATTCCAAAAAGGAGTACGAAAGTTTCTTGAAGTTATTTATTATGTTTTTGGCTTACTCACGTAATAATTTGACGAGATACTCGACTAGAAACTAGGACTAGAAAACATTATAAATAATTTAGAAAGTCTCACGAAAGTTATAATAAAAAAGTTTCTTGAAGGTTCTTTTTATATACTTTTAAGAAACAGCCAATATTGTAAAACATACAAGTCTTTGTTTAAAAGAGTAATCGTAACATGGAAAAATAATAATACAAGCAGACATAGGTTCGAAGAACAGTCCTGTGGTCTACAGGAAGAACTGCAATCTTCCGGAAGAGGGATGGAGCTATGAAAGGTGTATAGCTCCACCCCTCTTTCTCGTCCGAAAGATTCGACGCTTTAACACGTCATGGTAGGCCCTCTGAACTAGTTTCTGAACTTAAAAACGAATCTATCAAACCGAGCAAAAAACAACAACAAAAGTAAAGTCACAACAAAACCCGGTACATTTATGTCTAAAAATATCAGAAACGAATAATGTACTAATGGTAGCACATGAACATACCCCAATCCATCAAATTCCTTCAATCAAATTTCGACTTTAAAGCAAACCGAAAGAGTTGATATTCGACGCTTGATTAAAGAGTATTGGAGCGGTGTTACAATTGGTATGTATGACTCACTACATAATAGTCGCGAGATTGCCGTTTGGCAGTGTTGCTAGACGAATTAATCTGCCTTGTTGATCGGTCGCGAGTGGGATCGAACATACTTGTAACTACGTTTCACTAGATCGGAAAACTATTTCGGATAAACTATTATTGGGTATTGTCAGTTTTTAGGACAGGTTCTAGCGAATCGATGACCATGGACACCTACAAAAAAGTTCGTTTAAGGCTAATAGGGAGTTGTTAAGGATTGGAGAATTATTAGGAGATTTAGAATGAGAGGAGGGGAAGGATTGGATCTTCAGTTTCTTTTAATAAAAGTAACGAGTACCAATTAAAATGGATAAATAAAAAATATCTTTTTTTATGTAATAGGTCGGTAAACGAGCAGACGGATTACCTGATGGTAAGCAATAAGCGCTGCCCATGGACACCCGCAACTGAGGAGTTACGAGTGCGTTGCCAACCTTTTATGGATTAGGAATTTGGAGATTTAGGGACTGGGAAAGGATTAGGTCTCCGGTAACCTCACTCACACGGCGAAACACAACACTGTGGTATCGCTCCGGCCGAGCCGACCTATTCGTGCCGAAGCATGGCTCTCCCACACTTAAAATAATTGATAGAAAGTGGGTGTTATCGAGTATGAACATGTTTCTGTGTAAATATACTTTTAGGAATAAATATTTTTGAGTTGCTGGACAAGCGCTATAAGGTACTGCAGCCTCGGCCTGGATAAAGAGACGAAACGAGGTGGATTTTAATAAGCAAGAGTCTGACACTCCCACATCTCACTTTGGACGAGAGAAACGTACATGATGATTTTCACCCATAACACCAACATAAACAAAAGTATTGAATTACGATCAAGTGTTAATTAAAAAAAAAACCCTTTTCAACAGTATTTTCGCCTGTGTCTTGCATGTGTTTGTTTGCAAACATGTATTCTATCATACTTCCATAAAAATAAACAAAAAATAAACGATTTTCGCATCTAGTAATGGAACAACATAAAACAATATTATTTTAACGAGTTGTAAACTCAACTCAGTCGCATTTTGTTCTAGAAATAAAACATTATTTTCGTCTATTTAAAATATTTCTCTTTTCGAAACCCGTTGAATCAGATTCAATTAAACTTTTGATTTCATCTTGAGTATTTCTGGTCTGAATCTTAATTAAAACTTCGCGTTCAATAAAAAACAATTTTATGAGTTTTTAAAGCGATTTTTAAAGTTAAACCATTTAAAGAAGACAAGAATACATACACAATACCCTCCCATTGTGTGCCCCTCGTTATTTGATAGAAAAGTGAACACATTTGCACAAGAAGCTAAAGCCACAGTTGGGGTTACAGGAGCAAGGGCAATAATTTATCGCAGCCCAGTTTTTAGTCAGTAAAAGTCTTACACTCGTTTTGGCATCACCCAGGGAAAGAGAATGAATTTTACGATATCCTCTTTCAAAAAAAAAAAGCTTCCAGAAACTAACAACATCGAAACCGTAATAAATTGGTAATCTAACCGTGAGTACCGACTCGTCACAATCATCCCCCATTTTTATCCCTAACAGCACCGTGACTGGCTGACTAACTGCTGTGCAACATGTCGCGTGTTCAATTTCCATAATTCCAAAGTCTATTATTATTTCGGTAGTATTTCACCCCCGTGCCTAGGAAATGTCGTGGTGGCCCGGAGGTTAAGGAGCCCGCTTCTTATGCATGAGGGTGTGGGTTCGAAACCTGGCAAGTACCAATATTACTTTTTCCGAGTTATATGTACTTTCTATGATTATTTAGACACCACTGACATACGGTGAAGGTAAACATCGTGAGGAAACCTGGACTTTTATAATTTCTAATTATAAGTTTGAAATCGCCAACCCGCATTGAGCAAGCGCGGTGATTAATGCTCTAACTTTCTCCGTATGAGAAGAAGCATTGGCTCAGCAGTGGGCACTTATAGGTTGATGATGATGATGATGATGTGCCTAGGAAAGTATGTTAAGCTGTTGGTGAAGCGCCTAATATGTGGTCGTGTTGGTCTGCCGTCCCATAAAATTCAGTGAGTGAGGTATAAGAGAGTGCACCTGTATTAATGCACACACTTATACACTAAACATATTCTGAATAGTTGTCTTATCTACTTATATCTACAGGCCAGGGTCGAAACCGATCGGGACGTTTTATTTGTTTCTACTACTACAGCTACTCATAAAAGTCCTTATCAAGCAAGATGCTTATTGTTTTGAACGACTTACTCCCGTAAATATCTGGTAAGATTAATGGACTTGTTTCAAGTCACGTCATGAGGAGCATACTGCGACGATCACAGCGTCGTGCTTAGCCATGCAAGTAAGTCGTCATATTTTTTAACAATAAGTTGGATAAATCTTACTAAAGCGATAATACAAAGACAATTCGTTCGTAGAACATTCTGCAACCAGTACTACAGAACAAAATGTTTCATTAACCTTCTTTTTTGGGCAGTCATGGTAAGCAATCAGCACCACCCATGGACACTCGCAACAACGGAGGAGTTATGAGTGCGTTGCCAGATTTTTGGAGATTAGTGAGGAAAGATTGGGCCTCCGGTAACCTCACTCACAACGCTATTTTGTGGCGAAACAAAATTAATAATTTTCACGAACTATTAGAGCTTCTCTTGAATGAAATTAGTTACTAAATAGATAAAACTGTTTACTTCTTTACGGATAAATTATTTTATCAAGAATTTTTTGTTTGTGTTTTCATTGGCCTAAGTATATTTTTCTCTGACCTTGATAGCCAGTGCTGGCATACGTCTCGCGTATTGTACAAATAAAATATCGCTGAAATAACGTGTTACACAAATTCAGGAAATTATTACATTCTTATTCGTTTCCGAAGGTTTTTATGGTTCAAGGAAATAACAAATAAATGGACTTTGTCGTTTTTTATGAGAAAGGTCGACGAATTGCCTGATTGTCTACAATCGGCGCATGGACACCCGCAACACCAAAGGAGTTACGAGAGCGTTGACGGTCTTTTGAGGATAAGGGTTTTTGATTGTCCAAGTATTGTAATTTTTATGTTTATGGTCTAATTAAAACAATTTTGACGGGTAAGAGTGCCGTTTTATGGCCTATTAGCAAAAATAAATTCATTGTTTCATTGTTTCAATTGATTTGACTTTTGACTTTGAACAAATAGAATCAAAACCATTTCTGTAGGTATGTATGCATCTGTTTGCTAAGAAATAGGAATAAATCAATTCAATCACAAGTCAATTCCTAAGTTCGTTTCATTACTAAGAATTTAAAATTCCTATAATACTTCGTTTGCCATGAAATTCAAACGCAACAGCCCATTGGTCAGTTCTGTGCTATTGCGATCTCTGCACTGAGCTTCACTGACGAACTGACCAATGGACTATTACTTACATATTCTATTTTGACGTTTCAAAAGCACTGTCTGTTTACGGTTAAGTTGGAATAAATATTAATTGACCTTTGACTTTGTATGCAACATTTTAGCAATAACATTAAATAGAAGTGGATCATGCGCTTCTCTCTTCTCTTTCTATCTCTCTCTCTCTCTCAGTCTTTTTCAATGTTGTCAGGTACAGTACAACAACTTTAAACAGTATAGAATTTGAAC